TCCCCACCAGTACCACGCCACACACGCCTCCTGCTCCTCAAGCACAAAGCAAGGGATCTCCAGCACATTGAAGAAGGCCACGCCCACGATGTCCGAGATGGAGTCCCGCTGGTTCTGCAGGCATTGCTGGAACCTACCCAAGAGCTGGCACTCAGGTCCCTGGACCAAAAAGGGCCCCCCGGCTCCTCCTCCAAGACCACCCAGTCACTACCATGCCAGTGGTTTGGGATCCAAGAGTCTCTTCTCCTAGGCCTCAGCTTTCCCACCTGCAAGGTGGGGTCTGGCTGGCTGATCCTTTAGGGTTCTTTGGAATTGCAGTCTCTACACCCAGGAACTACCCCACCCGTGAGCCCCCAGCCCTCTCTACCCACCGCCAACCTGGCATCACAGTCACAATGGGAGATGGTGTGGAATCGGTAGTTTCGGATACCGTAGCTATACTGGAAAGGCGAGATGTTCTGTGGGCAGCGGTCATGCTCCCGGCAGCAGAGATCAGGGCCATGGAAGACCCCTGCAGGAAGCAGAGGGGGCATCAGCTGAGCAGAGTCTGGGGCTCCCCACGCTGGCTATGCCTCGCTGGTACAGGGAGCAGGGGCCTTGTTCTTGCCCCAGCCCTGACACAGATGCCCTGAGGTCACTCTCAGGTGACCCTCAGGTCACTCTCCCTCTGTGGGACTCTCGGTTTCAAAGCTTAAAGAGAGCAACCAGGCACAGGCTTTATTGGGCAGCTCCAGATGCCAGGGAGCCCACCCAGGAGGCTTTGTCTGGGAAAGGGACTTCCTCAGGGGAAGTGAAGTCTGCCTCCAGAGCTCCCAAGCTCACGCCCCAAATAAAACTCCAAAGTTATGAATGTGCACAGAAGGGCATGGCAAAGAGGCAGGGTGCAACCTTTCTCACTGGCATGATGAAGCATTGATTGCCACGATGCCAATCTGCTCCAACTCAGGTGCCAAAGCCTTCCCCCAACCCGCCGTGCATGCACAAAGACAGCTGTACTGAGTTCAGGAAAGTCATCCAAGTTTGTTACAATCTGAGCAATGGTGCCTTTTACTGAGCATTTCCCAATTGCCTGGCACTTCCCACAGCCAAGCTCCCAGCAGCTCTGTGAGGGAAATGTCCCCACCAGTACCACGCCACACACGCCTCCTGCTCCTCAAGCACAAAGCAAGGGATCTCCAGCACATTGAAGAAGGCCACGCCCACGATGTCCGAGATGGAGTCCCGCTGGTTCTGCAGGCATTGCTGGAACCTACCCAAGAGCTGGCACTCAGGTCCCTGGACCAAAAAGGGCCCCCCGGCTCCTCCTCCAAGACCACCCAGTCACTACCATGCCAGTGGTTTGGGATCCAAGAGTCTCTTCTCCTAGGCCTCAGCTTTCCCACCTGCAAGGTGGGGTCTGGCTGGCTGATCCTTTAGGGTTCTTTGGAATTGCAGTCTCTACACCCAGGAACTACCCCACCCGTGAGCCCCCAGCCCTCTCTACCCACCGCCAACCTGGCATCACAGTCACAATGGGAGATGGTGTGGAATCGGTAGTTTCGGATACCGTAGCTATACTGGAAAGGCGAGATGTTCTGTGGGCAGCGGTCATGCTCCCGGCAGCAGAGATCAGGGCCATGGAAGACCCCTGCAGGAAGCAGAGGGGGCATCAGCTGAGCAGAGTCTGGGGCTCCCCACGCTGGCTATGCCTCGCTGGTACAGGGAGCAGGGGCCTTGTTCTTGCCCCAGCCCTGACACAGATGCCCTGAGGTCACTCTCAGGTGACCCTCAGGTCACTCTCCCTCTGTGGGACTCTCGGTTTCAAAGCTTAAAGAGAGCAACCAGGCACAGGCTTTATTGGGCAGCTCCAGATGCCAGGGAGCCCACCCAGGAGGCTTTGTCTGGGAAAGGGACTTCCTCAGGGGAAGTGAAGTCTGCCTCCAGAGCTCCCAAGCTCACGCCCCAAATAAAACTCCAAAGTTATGAATGTGCACAGAAGGGCATGGCAAAGAGGCAGGGTGCAACCTTTCTCACTGGCATGATGAAGCATTGATTGCCACGATGCCAATCTGCTCCAACTCAGGTGCCAAAGCCTTCCCCCAACCCGCCGTGCATGCACAAAGACAGCTGTACTGAGTTCAGGAAAGTCATCCAAGTTTGTTACAATCTGAGCAATGGTGCCTTTTACTGAGCATTTCCCAATTGCCTGGCACTTCCCACAGCCAAGCTCCCAGCAGCTCTGTGAGGGAAATGTCACCTCCATGTACTGGTAAGGAAACCCAGGCTCAGAGTTGGGAAGTGACTTGTTTAGCTTTCATTTGCTAACCCAGGCCTTTGGGTCTCAGCGTCCACTCCCCTGGGCATTCTGCCTCATAAAACCTCCTCTTGGGTAATGGGTTTTGGCTCAGCCAACCTCAGACCCATCCCAGTCCAACCCCTCCCAGGCATGGTGATTAATGAGGACTCCAAGTTTGACGAGGACGTTTCCCATCTATGACCTAAATTAAGCAACCCATGATGAGACTTAAGGTCACCCCCATTTTACAGAAAAGGACATTGAAATACCGAGTGATTAAGTCACTCGCCCGAGGACACACAGCCTGGGAGAGTCCGGGCCAGGGCAAAAGCCAGCACTCCCCCACCACCCCCCAACACAGTCCACATCTCCATGCCTCACCCAGCTCTGAGGAGTTTCCAGCAGAATCCCCTACTCCACACCACAGCGTGCCAGGCATGGTCCAGCCTCTCTTCACCCGCTGAGGTCTTACGCTCCCAGGACCTCCACCTGCTTGCTCTTCCCTGGTCTCTGCCGCTCGCTTCTCCCTAGCCCCTTCAGGCCGTCGGCAGGCCCTCCACTGACTCCAAAGGGTGGCCAGGGCTCTCTGCAGCTCGGGGCCGGGGGTGTGGATGAAGGAGCCCCGGGTGATCTCACCAGCACAGAGGGCACTGAAGGCTGCGGTGAGCTCTGGCTCGTCTTGCCAGCTACATGCTTGCAGCCTTCCGTGCCGGTCCCAGCGGGTGTGGAACAGGGCCAGTCCTTGGGCACCCTTGCTTAGAAAGCTCAGGGTCCCCAAGGGGCTGCCGGGAATGGGCCTGGCCAAGTGGCAGGAGGTGCTGTCCCAGCGGAGGGCAGAGGGGCCTCCCATAGCCACTCCCAGGAAGCTCAGCATCCCTAACAGCACTACCGGAACCCCCATTCCGTCCTAGGCCAGCCCAGTCAGACAAAGCCCCCAGGACACCTACCCCCGGCAGCCCACGAGGCAGGAGCTTCAGCAACTGAGCGGAAGCAGTGCCCTGCAGACCCAGTGCAGCGGGGCCAATGAATGGAGCTTTGGGAGGAGTAGGAAGGAGGCTGGAGTATGGGGTGATCTCCGGCTTGTAACTGAATCCACCGGCTGGGCAGGCTGCTGATTGGCCAAGGAGTGCACTTGCCAGGGCCCACGCCCCCATTCACCATGCCTTTCTTATCCAGTCACCTGCTGCCAGCCCCGCCTGGGGACTGGGGAGCCAAAGCCTTGGGATGTGGGGCAGGGGACCAGGAGGGGATCTCTACCTTCCTTGGGAGGGAAGAGAGTTCAGGGGCTCAGAGGAAGCTCCCAGAACTCCGTCCTCAGACCCCTTCCCTAGTGGTGGCTGCCACACCCACCTCCATGAAGTTGGCAGAGAGCCATGGCCTCTGCCAGACCTGGGAGAAGGGGGTGAGGGAGGGCTGGGGTCCTGTGGCCACTACCCCGCTCCCCAGGGAGGTCCTGAGGCTTCTGGGAAAGGGAGCGCCTATCCGCTGGCCACCTGGGGTACACCACCGCCCAGAGCTGGTTCTAAGAAAGCCTCTAGGCATAATCAGGGGACAGCGCCCCAGGGCTCCCCACTTCCTGAGACTCCAAGACACAGGCCTGGCAAGCAGCAACCCTCCCAGTCTGATATATGGTGGAGACAGAGCCAGAGCAGGCCTTGAGAGCACAGCATAGGGCAGGGCTAATGCTCTGGACTTGAAGGGACTGGAGTTCCCAGAGGAGTGGATGGCTGGGCAGAGAGGGCTGAGTCTGCAGCCAGCTCCATCCTTGGACTGTAGCCACCAGTGGGACACAGCAAGCATCATGCGTTCCCCAAGGGACAGGAATGATCTCTCTATCAGGGAAGGGCTACTGCCAGCACGTGTTTCTGTGTCCCAAAGCTAATGTATCGCCCAGCTTCCAACCATCCAGGAAAGCTGGGATGCTCACACCCAGCTGGGACTCACAACCATCCAGGAAAGCTGGGATGCTCATATGCTATTATGAAGAAACTGAGGATCATCAAGGGGGAGGAAACTTTAGGTGACAGGCTCCAGTGAGGGAGGACTTCAAGGCTGGAAGCACGGCTCTCAGAAAGCTTTGCTGGGAGGTCAGGGCCGGCAGGGACAGTGATCTGTCTTTCTGTCTGTCTGTCCATCAGCCCATCAGCCTACTGCTCCCCAACATCCCTCTCAATCTCCATCCTAGTCTCTTCCAGGAGGGCAAGGACTGGTGAGGCAGGGCCGTGGGTAGAGCTGGGGAAGGGAAGCTCACTGTACATAGCAGGGGGAAGGAGGTGTGGCTGGGTGTGCAGGCCCATCTCTGTGCTTCAGAACCAGCTGGCTCCTGCCTCTCAGAAGGTCATGGCTGGAGACAATGAAAAGGGAAAGAGGGTGGGAATAGCCCAGGAGCCAAAGTCCTTCTCTCCAGAAGCAGGGGAAGGGAGTATGAACTAAAAAGAGTGGAGGCAGGAAGTGTAGGGAGACCTGGGGTTCCCAAAGGTAGGGACACCACTGAACAAAGGTGGGTCTCTCTGGAAAGAACTCTACTGTTTGGAAACCATGTTCTGGTAACTTTACCCAGTTGTAGGAATGGCTACTCACCTCTGCTCTCTTTTCTGTACTACAGAGTCCATCACCCAGGAAGGCTGGGAGGTCCGGTGGCAAGAACTCAACTTTCAAGGTCAGACACATGTAACTTGGGTCCCGGCACTGTGGGACCTCAGGCTTTGAAGTCTTAACTTCTCTGAGCCTCAGTCTCCTCATCTGTGTGATGGGTATAATCACAATAGTCGGTTCATGGGATGTTGGGGAAGGCTCTCTGCACAGTGACTGGCACTCAAGACACTGTCGCTAAAGCCTCAGGACATCCCTGGGCAGGAAACAGTTTAGCTAGGAAAAAGCAAGTCCCCAAATTTTCAGACCACAGCATCCACGAGAGCTAGCTAGCTAGGCCATGACCTGGTTGTATGACTTCATGCTAGTCCCTGCCCCTCTCTGAGCCTTGGTTTCCTCCTCTGTACAGTGAAGAAAACAATGGAAGTGACCTTTGAGGTCTCTTCCTGTCTAGGCCCCAAAGGAAGGCAGGCTGAAGCCTGCCTAGGCCTCGAGGGAAGGTGTCACTGGGTTTTCTCTTCAGATTCCACCTGGTGGCCACGTCAGTCAATGTACAGGATAGACTTCGGAGCCCTGCCTCCCACTGGAGTGCCCCTCAGAGGCCTTGGCACAAAGGATCCCAGAAGCCAAACCAGCAGGACAGGATAGGATGGGCCCCGCCCTGCAGACAAAAGGGGAAACGAAGCTTTCCTCTGGATTCCCACATGTCTGGGGTTGGGCAGGGTGCACAGTGGGTGCCAGGGAAGGTGAGAGGCTGGGGTCAATGGGATCTGATCATTTATCCCTGTCTCTGTCCATCAGTCCTCATCGCTCTGTCTCCCTGGGCTTCTCTCTCATCCTTCGGTCTCTTGGTCTCTTGCCCTCTCTGGCTCTGATTCTCCTCGTTTCTTTCTTTCTCTCTCTCTCTCTCCTCCATTCCTTCCTCTCCATCTCATTTTCTCTTTCCTTTCCTTTCTCTTTCTCACCTCTGTCTCTCTGTGCCGGTTTTTGCTCCCCCTCCCTCTGAGTTATTGTCTCTGCCTGTCTCCGTCCCACCCTCTCCTCTCATTTCTCCACTCTCTGGCTCTAAGTACCCCTGTCCTCTCCCCAAACTCTTTCCCTCTTTTTCCCGTTTCTCTCTTAATGTTTTCCCTCTCTTTGTTTTCCTCTCTTTTTGTTTCTTAATGTCTTCTTGTTTCTCTCCTCCCTTCCTCTTCTCTTTCTCATTCCTTCCCTTGTTATGTCTCATGGTTTCCTCGTTTGTGTGTGTGTCTGTGTGTCTGTTTCTCTCTCTTCATTCTTCTCTCTTCCTTCTCTGTTTTCCCCCTCTACACCCTGACCCCAGGCCCAGGACCCAGTGCATCCTGCCCTTTCCAGGCCATGACCTCATCTGATGCTCACAACCCCTGCCCCTCCCTAGGGAGACTGGCAGGGCAGGGCTTTCTCAGCCCATTGTTGAGATGGATGGAGTGAGGCTCCACAAAAGAAGGAACTTGCCAGGAGTCACATAGTAGACCAGGGGAGAAGACAGGTCAGATTTTTCTTGGCCTGTGGGGAGGACCTCCTGTGACCCTGGGAGACTCTTGGCTCCCCTAACCTCTCCCCATCTCAGGCACTTCCTCCCCACTGCGTGGAGCCCTTGGAGCTTGTGTTCCCTCCCCCTTCTGGAGGTCTCTCCACAGCTCTCTGTGCTGGGAGAATGGTGCGGGCAGTGCCTAGCTCCAGAACATTCTGCGTTCATTTGAAAACAGTTGAGTGTCTACTACTGCCAGGCACAGGCAGAAACCCTGAACAGAGGGAGGAGGAGAGGAGGGACAGAGCATGTTCAAGTCAAGAGATGGAGAGGAACACATTCTCTGCCGGGGCAGGGTCTGGCGGCCCAGGGGAGCCAGGCCTTAGTGTCAGTGGGGTCCTCTAGGAAGCCACCACCAAAATGGAGTTAGAAGTGCAAGAGATGTGGTGGAGGAAATGCCTGTGGAAGATAGAGGAGATAGGGAAGACGCAGGATTGGGCAGGGAAAGCCTTCAGACTGTTGCAAGTCTGACATCTATGAGGAGAGAGTAGAAGGGAAGGAGAGCTGGGTAAGAGCATCACACCTTGGTGCCAGTCTGAGCAGATCTCAGCCAGCCAATGGGGAGCTCTAGGACAAAGATTGCCCATGGAAGAGCCCCAGCTGGGCAGACACAGGCAGGCCCGAGTGCCCTGGCTGTGCCTTGCCATTGGTTGGGGGCTGCCCAGGAGGACAGTGGCATCCACCCCGATGTTGCTACAGATGCTGAAGTTGCTGCAGCTGGTGCTGCCACATCTGGGAATTTATCTGCCCATTTGGCTGGGGCAACCCCCGCCGCAGATCAGAAGAAGAAACTCAATGGGCAGATGGAGTCTGAAAGCTGGGAGGAAGCGCAGTAGGCAGTCTTCTTCCAGAGATTCCAGGGCTGAGGAGTAGGAATCTGAGTATAAGACTATCCCTCATAAGATTTCCAGGTAGGAGGGGTGCCTGGGTGGGTCAGTGGGTTAAAGCCTCTGCCTTCTGCCTAGAGTCCTGGGATGGAGCCCTGCACGGGGCTCTCTGCTCAGCAGGGAGTCTGCTTCCTCCTCTCTCTCTGCCTGCTTCTCTGCCTACTTGTGATCTCCGTCTGTCAAATAAATAAATAAAATCTTTTTAAAAATTTTAAAAAAACGATTTCCAGGTAGGGATTCAAACCCAAGTATTTGTGGCATAAATGAAGCCCAGTCCCAGGTCTCAGGGAATAAATACTGAGAAACAACAGTGTTTCAAACTAGACATCTCAGAGGCCGTTAGTGGCCCAGTTGGTTAACCATCTGACTTGGTTAACCAACTTGGTTAGCCAACCATGCAGGGTCTTAGAATCGAGCCCTGCGTGGGGCCCTCTGCTCAGTGGGGAATCTGTTTCTCCCTCTCCCTCTTCTCCTTCCCCCATGTGTTCACTCTCTCTCTCCCAAATAAATAAAGTCTTAAAAAAAAATCTAGACATTTCAATAGATAGGAAGAAACACATTAGATTCAATTCAACAGCTTATTAAACTATGCGTAGAAGAGAGAGAGAGAGAGATGGGAAGTCAGAGGGACCCTGGAAACTATTCTACTAACTGAACAACATTAGAAGCTGTGGGGTTTTAAAGATGCGCACAAATTCTCTGATATTCCTCCCTTCAAGTGGTGGAGGCTACTTCCTCTCCCCTTCAGTGTGAGCTGTACTCAGTCACTTGTTTCTAATATATAAAATGTGGTGGACATGACATAACTTCTTAGACTAAGTGATAAAAGGCATTGTGCCTTCCTTCTTGCTCTCCCTCTTGTATCAATCA